TTACACCACAGGCCCCTGCCCTTTCATCATCTGCAGTCCCCTATTTCTGTGTCTCTCCCAAAGCCTCTCAAAGCACTAACGGATTCATTAGATTGCTTGCATTGATGACCTCCCTAGCTGCCTTATGATCCTTTCACACCAAAACAATGGATCTCTGCTAGCAACTACAATCCGAAGTTTGAAAACTTCCTCAAGAGAAAACAAATCCAAAAATGTTGGGATCGAACTAACATCTTCCATTTCAACAAGAATTCTTGCAATATTGTATATTTTCCTATCTTATATTTCTAAAGTCAATTTTTTTTTAAACTTCCCACAGCATTCCCTATTGCCCTAAAAACCTCTGTACACCAGGCATGCATCGGTATCCCGTAGATTCCAAACGAACTTCATTTTCTCTACTTCCAATCACAACCTAGGTGACCAATGGCTGAAAAAAAGTTTAGGGTTCCTCTTTTTTCCAAAGCATTCTCTTGATAGGGCTTCTTCCACGTCTTTTTTCCACCTAAAATTGAACAAGAATAAGGACACCCCCATCCTTCAAACGCAAGATAAACTTAGGATTTTCCATTCTTGGATCGCCCATTTCTCCACAGCTCTAATGTCAAGATCCGAGTAAACAAAACTACCTACTAGACATCTATTTAAGAACTCCAACCTTACCTCCATCCCTAACTAACACACCTCTCATCATAATTGCAAATGGTTCTAGCCACTATGCCGTTGCTGACCCTAAGACACTCTGCACCATTGTCGTTCCTTTGCCTGTTCACCATCATTCACCATCATTCCATTCCTTCACTGTCATCCACTTCATTTTTCACCATGCCTGATCCTATTGAAATTGACACCTATGACAATTTAAGATAACTTTGCAAGTTCCAGTTACAAACATATAGAAAGAAAGGAGAAAGGTTGGAGTATTTAGCTCTACAAAAAGAGACTGCCTAAGTGAAGAGACCCGACATTGCCTATGCTATTGGGGTGTTAAGCCAGTATACGCATGCCCCTAAGACCACTCATCTTGCCATTGCAGAGCATGTTCTTATGTTCTTGAAGAAATATCCTGGTAGAGGCATTCTCTTTTCCAAGCATGGCCACTTGAAGGTAGAGACATTCATTGATGCTGATTTGACATGCATGGTTGATGGCACATGGAGTTGCAGAAATGATGTGGTTGAAGAATATGTTAAAGGAGTTGGGAATTGAAGTTCACAACCCAATGTCATTGTATTGTGACAAGGCAGCAATCAATATAGCCCACAATCTTGTGATGCATGAGAGAACAAAACATATCAAAGTTGATAAAAATTTCATTCGCAAGAAACTTGAAGCCGGTGGAGTCAACATTCCTTGCGTAAATTCTGTGGATCACTTATGTGATATTTTCACCAAGGGTGTTAAAGGTACCCGACATGTTGACATATGTACCAAGTTGGGAATGATAGACATATACAGCCCAACTTGAGGGGGAATATTGTTAGGACTGTTATTAAACTGTTAGTGGGCCAATTTTATTGTCTTTTCTCTGTTAAGTTGTAATGAATGGTGCTCCTGTAATTTTCCTTTTATTTTAAACATCCTAGTATGTAAGTTAGTAGCCCTGGCATCTTTTGGCAAATATTCACCTACTGTTTCTCTCTTCTATTCTTTCTCTTCCATTCTAGACATATACATATGTATGTATGTATTTACGTATATATATAACCCAATTTGAGGGGGAGTATTATGTGCTTTACTATTAACATAATGTTCTTTATAATGTTTTTGTCTTTTTATTCTTGGGAGGTAGTTCTATCTTTTCCCCTCTTGTTATTGTAGCCCTATGATACACATAAAAGTGCTGCTGCCCACTCACTTCTGACTCTCAAAAACATTCTTTTCTCTTCTACAACAAGAAATTCCATTGATGATTTTTCAAGATGTACAAGTATCTACTTGCTCCATTTGAGAGAGGAAGTTCTTAAGAAATACAATACTTCCAAAGGGTATTTTTACATAGTTTCATGTGGAAATCAAAATCTTTCTCATAATATGTGAGGATATTTCAAAGAAGATGTGAATCAGATTTTTGCCAAGAATGGCATTATAATTCAAACTCTATGTCCTAGAAAACCTCAACAAAGATCTACTTGATCAATCGTATGCCAACTTGTATTCTCCAGTTAATTCCTCACATTAACTTGTCTCCATTCCCATTGATACTTTCAGGTGTCATTTTTTGTTCATGACTTGTCTCCTTAGTGGTAAGCTTGATCCTCATTTTATATCATGTGTTTTCCTTGGATATCCTACTACTCAAAAGGAGTATAAGTGTTATGGTCCTACTTCAAAGAAAGTCTACATATCCATGGATATGTCATTTCTTGAATCTTCACCTTCTTTCTCTATCTTCCTTAGAAGGAGAATATTGGACTTAAGGAGAAGCAAATTCACCTCCCTCTACCCATTCTTGTATCTTCATACATGGAATCTCAGCTTCAGCCCGTTCTTTGTGTCTATTCTTGTCACTATAGGATCAGCATGCATGTCTATGTGCAGATCAGACTGAAGCTACACATGTCCTTCTTGTGATCTTTATGTTTCCATTGTCATTCACAAAGGTACTCATACATGTACTACTAAGTATCCTATTGCAAATTGTGATAACCTTTCTCCTTGTCGTGCTTACCTCTCTGCCATTTCCAGTGTCTATTCCCAAGAATGTTGCAGAGGCCCTACTATGTTGGAGGAGATCAGTGCCCTTCACAAAAACAACACATAGGATCTAGTAGATCATCTTGAAGGAAGAGAAAGAGCCTATAGAGTGCAAGTGGGTATTCTTTGTAAAAAAATCATGACGATGATTTAATAGAAAGTTATAAAGCAAGTTTGGAAGCCAAGGGTTTCTCATAGACATATGGAGTTGACTATAGAGAAAGTTTCACTCTAATTGCCAAGATGAACTCCATACATATTTTTCCATCTCTTACAGCTAATTTTGATTGGTGCCGATATCAGTTCAACATTAAAAATGCTTTGCTAAATGGTGATCTTGAGGAGGAAGTATACATGGTTCAAACTCCAGGTTTTCATACTGAAGAAACTTTTGAGAAAGTTTTCCACCTTAAGGATTAAGAATTTTTTTTTATCAATAAAGAATTAACAAGTAATTGTATAGATTAAAGTAGTTGCCCAAAGCTTTTGGCAAGTATAATAATGTGGTTAAACAGGTTTGCTTTAATCAGTGCCAAAGTGATTATTGTTAAGAGAGACAGAATTGATAGTAGTTTTGATAATGTATGTGGATGGCATTGTCATCATTAGAAACTAGGAGTCAGAGATATAGAAGCTGAAGGAGTTTTTGAGATCATAGTTTGAAGTAAAGGATCTAGGTTCCTTGAAGTACTTTCTTGATTAAAGATGTTAGATCTAATAAAGGAATCTTTATTTCTCAAGGTATGCCCTATATTTGCTTAAGGGAAACGCAAAGTTGGGGGATCAAACTGGTTGACACAAAAACTGAGACCAATCATAGACTTGGGGAAGATGATAGTGAGCCTCTTTTTGATTCCAAGCAATTCTAGAGAATCGTTGGCTAGATAATTGGCTATGCCATGGGAGTCCTTAGCTAGTATATGCATTGTCCTAGGACCACACACCTCGTAACAACAGAACAAGTCCTTAAATATTTCAAGAAACACCCTAGAAGAAGCATCCTTTTCTATAAGCATGGGCACTTAGAGAGTGGAGGCTTATACATTTGCCAAATGGGATGGATTAGTTGACAATAGGAGATCTAGCATAGGCAATTGGAAATTTGTTAGAGGTTACTTGGTAATCTAGAGGAGCAAAGAATAAACAATGGTGGCTAGATCTAGTGCCAAAGCTGAACATAGAACCATAGCACACAGGATTACTAAAATATTATGGCTCAAGAACAATCCTGTAGAGTTGGGGTTTGATGTTCCAAAGCCTGTGCCACTTTAATGTGACAAGGTTTCCATCAACATAGCTCACAACCCATTGATGCACAAGAGGAAAAAACATATTGAAGTGGGCAAGCACTTCATTCAGGACCAATGGGAAAAGGGTGAAATTATGTCAATTTTAATGAGCAATTAGGGGATGTTTTTACTAAGGGTATAACAAGTGTTTGACATATTGATCTTTGTAACAAGTTGGGAATAAAAGATATATATGACCCAACTTTGAGGGAGAGTGTTGTTAAATCAGTTTATGCGATATATTGTAACATCAGAGTACCCAAGGATATACTAGTCATTTTACTTTATTTTATGACACCCTAATATATAAGACAAAGTGGGCACTACCAAACCACTTTGATTCCCTCAGAACTTCATCTTTTCCTTGTTCTTTCTATTCTTTTTTTCTTCCGATCACACTATGGAGCAGCTTGAGACATCTTGGTCAGAATGGAACAAAAGGAAGGCCACAAAAGATGTAAATAGAGCCAATAAGAAAGCATTTCACTGAAGACACAACAAGGAGGATATGGTAAGTTGAATGGATAAGGAGAAGAGGATCATGTAACCTATCCCAATTTCCAAATGGTTGTGACAAAGCTCTCTTGGTGAAAAATCCAAACATGTGCATTCTCTTAATCCTGACATAAAAATAGTTTCAATTCCTCTTATCCACTCCTTGCTTGACTTTTCACCCACTGCTCAATGCGTCTCATGTAGGAAATATCCCATACCAAAATCAACCTAATTAGATAATCATCAAATCCAAACTATTCAATACTTCTATGGATCCAAAGTTTTACATACCCAATTGCATAAAACCTCATTAGAGAGTTGATCACGACGCTTGCACTCAATTCCATCTCATTATAGCACATAACTCTTAAATGCAAATGCTCTTTAACACTCGTATAAAAATAGCTAATACAAAAATGAAGAAACTGAAAGTAGTCTAATAAAGCATGCMTGCATGTATTTTAACTTTTAAGTGGGTATTTCAAAAGCTAATAGCAACCTCGAGGATCAAAGTATTACCAAGACAAGTGAGTCATATCTGTCATGCCAGCATCCTGGAGTAACCTGCCAATCAAAAACAAGATAAGAGAAAGTTATGATTTTCAAGGTCAAATATACTTCTATCAAGAAATGGTATAATTCCTATCTATTATATACAGAATAAGAAATAAATAAAAAAAAAAACCTACAATTAGTAGAATACAAGTTTTCTTATTGTATGTGGAATTAAAAGTACAATAAGGAGGCCTAGTTTGTAGTTTTTCCAAACTCAATAATGCAGACCAAAGGAAAATTTGGTGAGATAAGTATATGACATTATAACCAATCCTCCTAAACTGCTAATATGCTCACCTTACACATGTTGCATCTAATGAAGGAAATGACTTCTGATAGTTCTGCATAGAGATTTGAACCTTGACATCTCATTCAAATAGGTTACAAAATCATCAAAGACTATCAAACCCATAGGAAGATCCTAAAAGCCATTTTCAAAGGAAGGACAAAAGGATATGTTTCTTCCTCTTAGTTTGCCACCATGCGGGTCATTTTTGTAGTTGATCTTGCACTCACACTTCTAGTGTGAGTGGACAATTAATGGCATCAAAAAGTCACAACTACCAATGAATGGCTAATGCAGATACTGAAGCAAGGAAAGAATTCACTAAAAAAACAAAAGACAAACAAACAAGTTTTCCAATTCCTACACCAACATAAACAGAATTTGAGTGATAGGATATTGGTATTGATTGAGCACTTCTAATTTATTTTCTAGTTGTAGGTGTCTTAAGAAAAGGATTCTAATTTTTCGAGGATTTACAGTTATTTCAAAATTACTATTGATAGTAACTTTCAGACTTACTATTTACAGTAATTCCCATAAATATTATTTATGATAAAATCATGATTTATTATTTGTAGTAATATATGGTGTCCTTATATTAAGCTAGTTTCAGTAGGATTAGTAAGGTATTATTGGAGTTAATTATGAGTTATAGTGCTTATTTCAATGTCCCTATGGGTTATATGGATTTTTCTTAAGTTCAAAGCAATTAGAAGTTGATTTGGGTTGGTTCCCTTCTCCAAATTGGAGTCCTTGAAGGAACATCCGAGTTCATATGTTAAATTTATAAACAGTGTCATTGAGCAATTTAAGGAGAGTTCATTTGATGAAACAATTTTTTGTTCTGGTTGTCGCTAGGAATTTTTCTCCCCCCCCCCTTCACCTATTTCTTCTTTTGAATGATCTACTGCTTTGCTGTTTACCCTAACAGTAAGAGTTCTTCATTTTCTCTCTTATTTCTTGTTCATTCTTTGGTAGACATCAAGCTGTCTACTTGCTTTTCTATCCCAATTCTTCATTCTCAATCACCCAAAACCTGTCATTTACCCACAAAGCCCACCACCAGATCTCAAAATTTGTAAGACCCCTTACCTGTCCTACATAAATGATGTCTCAAGAATGTTCTCTATTCACCATCAGCGAGCAACAACTAATGACTGAAAATAAACGTGTTACACTCAAAACCAAGTAATTGATGGTAATTGATGAGGCTATGGGCCCATATTTACAAATAGATACCCTTAGGCAGAGACTAGTTTGGAGAGAGTTAGAGAGGAAGTCTGAATTAGTGATGTTTGGAAACAAAATTATGGCCAGCAAAAAGAGAGTCATTTCCGGCAGCGTCAAAAATTTCCTGGTCAAAAACCTAGTAGCAAGGATGGAGACTAGAAAGCTCTTTCTTAGAGATTAGTGGGTCAGTTTAGAAGAGAGGTGCCCAATGTAAGATAGGTAGAGTRATGGGCCTTGGAAACATGGTGACCTATAGGAATAAAGGTGAAGAAGCTAATCCAGTGCTTGCTCCTATTCATCATTTCATCCAAAAAGGAGGGTATGAAAATACTTAACCAAACACATGGAGAATGGGGAAAAATGAATTACTGCTAGAGATGTGGAGTGCAAGTGTAGGGTGTTATACAAATGAACAGTCAAGGGCTCAGTAGAAGGCAGTCTGGATTAGGAAGTAAGGCTTGCTATTACCACCTCTTTGCTATAACAGAGAAGAAAAGATAAAGAAGAGAGATGGAGAGAAGAGAGAGAAAGAGAGGAGAAGAGTGAAGAGAGAAAGGCTGGTTCGAACTAGAGAGAAAAATCGACTCTCTCCAGTCGGCCAGGTTATATTTATAGTTTTCTATATCAAGAACAAATTGACTCTTGTGCCCCTACTTAAGTATGGGACACATCACTTAACTCAACATTACACCTCATACTAAACATAAACAAAAGGATTAATCTGCCCCTATATAATCGACACTAAAACTCCCCCTCAAGCTGGTGAGTATATATCATGTGATCCTAGTTTGTTACATATGTAGTCCACTCTCGCCCGACTCAACAGAGGAAGCCATTGGGCAGATCTATTCACCAAAGGGTTAACATATTAATCCACTAAGAACCTTTTCTCTCACAAAGTGACAATCAACTTCTGTGTGTTTTGTTCTCTCATGAAAAACTGGATTAGAGGAGATGTGGACTGCAGCTTGGTTGTCACAATAAAGCTTCATCAGTGTGTCAATTGAGTATCCCATCTCCTATAGAAGGTTTCTCAACCACACCAATTCACAAGTTGTATGTGCCATGGCTCTGTATTCAGCTTCTACACTGCTTCTTGCCACCACTGTCTATTTCTTACTCTTCCATGTCACCAAGTTACCCCCAAGAAAGGTACAATAACCTGTAGTGGACCTTCTATCAGATATAGAACCAGCCCAATCAGCATAGCATCGGTGTATCCTTCTATTGCAAGTTTTCCTCCACTCTTGTATAGCAAGCCACAACTAAGAGCTCCCTTCAAGTACCTTACAATCCTTAGAACTGCATCCCAATGTGGAACCCAAGGATTCTGCATAAACCGACTCACCACACTAACCACAAATGAAATATCTGGTCGAGTAATGGTTAGGTAGTTTAGCTTACCCACTAACCTTCTGTACCTTCCTGAATCTTTAAACTCCTCACCTATATCACTACTCAACTTAACATTCAATTCCATGGGTGGTTCAACTAGTTTGGCACCCAATAACCTTGTCTCCTTCAGTAGGTCAAGGACATATTTCCGCTGGCACAAGTTAATACCATACTTGGACCTCGCTACCTCTATCCCTAAGAAATATCTTAGTTTACCAAGATCCTTTGTCTGGAGGTGATCATGCAAAAAGGTCTTCAACCTATCAATCCTGAACCTATCACTACCAGTATTAGCAATATCATCTACATATACCACCAACAAAATCTTCCCAGCACCAAAATCATAATTGAATACTGAATGATTGACTTGACACTGTTTCATGTCAAATTTCTTCACTACTCATAAATAGCTTTCTTGAGCTTACACACTTTACCATCCTCCCCCTAAGCAACAAACCTTAGTGGTTACTCCATATACACCTCCTCAAGAAGATCACCATGCAAAATAGTATTCTTAATATCAAGCTAAAACAAGGGCCAATCATGCATAGCAGCTAGAGAGATCAAAACACGAACAGAACCAATCTTGGCAACAGGAGAGGTCTCTATGTAGTCAATGCCATATAACTGTGAATAACCATTGGCAACCAACCAAGCTTTCAATCGCTCAACACTACCATCAGGCAAATACTCGATAGTGTATACCCACTTACATCCTACAGCATGCTTACTAGGGGGAAGAGTGGTGAGATCCCACATATAATTATGAGCCAGAGAGAGTTATTCTTCCATCACCTGACACACCCTAGAGAGATAAGGGCTTCCTAGACATCCTTAGGAACAAAACAGAAGATAACAACAAAACAAATTGTCAATGGGAAGGGGAAAGGTGAGAAACAGAAACATAATTAGGGATAAGATGAAGGGTACAACTATGTTTACCTTTCTGTAGGGCAATGGGAAGGTCAAGGTCAGAAATGGGGTGTGATGGTGCTGTGGAAACCACTACCGGATCCGTCGACAGTGAAGAAACTGGAGGAGCCGGTGCATGTCAATGCATATACAAATGCTAGGTAGGTGGCCGTGCAGGAGGGAGTGGCACCGGAGGCAAAGACTTAGTCGTAGCTGGAACAAGTGGAATGGGACCCGCAATAGGAACTAGAAGCGGAAAAGAAGAAGAGACATTTGACCCAGAAAAGAACGGAACCGACTCAAAGAAGGTAACATCAAGACACACAAAGAAACGTCAAAAACTGGGATTGTAACACTTGTACCCGTTTTGGGTCCTAGAATATCCAAGGAAGACACACTTGGTAGATCGTGCATCTAATTTGTCTAGTCTAGGGCCAAGGTTATGAACAAAGCACACACACCCAAAAACCTGAGGGGTAAGAGGAGAAGGGGACAATGTAGGAAACAAAACAGAGAAGGGAGACTGACCATCAAGGGTGGACATAAGCATTCGGTTAATAAGAAAGCAAGACATAAGCACAGCATCACTCCAAGCGATTTCCAAGAGGTGGTGGTTCTTTCGTTCAGCTACCCCATTTTGTTGAGGGGTGTAAGAGCAAGAGGTTTGATGAATAATACCACGTTGTTCTAAATATTGCTGAAAGGGCGTATAAAAGTATTCTCGGCCATTATCGGAACGTAAGATCTTAATATGGATACCAAATTGAGTGTGAATTTCAGCATGAAACTTTTGGAAAATAGAAAATAATTAACTTCTTTCTTTCATAAGATAAAGCCATGTCATCCTTGAATAATCATCGACAAAAATAACAAAGTACTTGTAGCCATTGTGTGACACACTGACACTATTTTATTTGGACCCCAAGTGTCCGATGGACCAAAGAAAAATGACTCAACATACGACAATCGACTCTAGGACTAAAAGAAACCCGATGATGTTTCCCATACTAACATGACTCACAATCCAAAGTAGAAAGACGACTTAATGCTGGAACAAGTTGCTTAAGAGATTTAAGAGATAGATGACCAAGTCTACAATGCCACTGGAGAGGGGAAAGAAACGACTGAAAAGTTGTTGATGAACCACCATCACCATCAAGATAATACAGTCCACCAGCTTCATGCCCTCTACCGATCTTCATCCCTGTCTTGAGATTCTGAAATACACAAGCTGAAGGGTAAAAGGTGATAGAGCAATTAAGAGACTTGGTTAGTTTACTAACAGACAAAATTAAAAGGGAATTTGGGAACATATAGAACTAAAGACAAAGATAATGAACCAGTGTTAACATCACCAATACCACATATGGAAGAAGCCATTAGCAAGGGTGACAATGTAGCTTATAGAGGATGAAGAAAGAGAAGAGAACACACCTTGAGTCCCAATTATATGATCGGAAGCTCCAAAATCAATGATCCAATGGGAGGGTTTGGATGCCAGAAAGCCATACCTGAGTGGCCAAGCATAGCTGTACTCGGCTAAGAAGCCTAGATCAACCGCTCATATTCATTATGTGAAATACTCATCATCTCTTGTCCGGAGGCATCTATAGATAAAAGTGTCTGACCGGCCTGTTGACTCTCTTGTTCCATACCACCACTAGCAACTACATGATATGCCCAGGTTTAAGGTGGGTCATGTAGATCATAGCAAAAATTAACAGTATGTCCATCCATACCACAATGTGTACACCTCCTCGGACCATTACTACGTCCTTTAACACGAACTCCCCCTAAATCTCGACCTCCAACATGCCCACCACCACGACTGTACATGTGTCCACCACTATCACCATGGCCTGGCTAACCCTGATGAGTTACTCCTCTACCACCAYGACCTCCCCCTCTTGTCACTGCAAAAGCAGACCTACCTAATATGGTAGGGTTCTTCGGATGTCCAATGGAAGTCCTCCGGAGACGGGCAAACACCTCTTCAAGGGAAGGCTGGTTCGAACTAGAGAGAAAAATAAACTCTCCAATCGGCCAGGTTATATTTATAGCTTTCTATATCAAAAACAAATTGACTCTTGTGCCCTACTTAAGTATGGGGCACATCACTTAACTCAACTACACCTCATACTAAACATAAACAAAAAGACTAATCTGCCCCTATATAATCGACACTAACAAGGATTATTGTGGAGAGTGGACAATTCTAAGGTTGAACTCTCCATGTGTGAATGGATAAATGTTATGGACGCCTTCCTCGGGAAGACGTACTATCGCCGGCGGCAGCAACAGGCACCTGACCCATCGCCAGCAGCAGCAGTGATTCAGTGATGCTCATCCTACCCAGTTCGGCAACAGCAGCCTTATCTAGATTAGATTAGCTCATTTTACTTGTTCTTATCTCTTATCTTATCTTGTTAGTAGCTTATCAGATTAGGATTAGCTTATCTTATCCTTAGCAAGATAGAACTGGAAGTCTCCCTATTCAGCAAGGAGACTCCCTTTGATTAGGACTCTTGTAATYTCYTATTTAAGGAGACCSCATTATTGAATGAGATATCGAATATTCAGTTGAAGAAGTGAGTTAGGAGAGTTGGTGATCTCTTGAACAAATCACCAGAGGTGCCAAGATAGGTTCATCAAGAGCAGGAAGGAACAAGAGAAAACAGGAGGTTTTCCCCTTGGACCGACCCGTGACAAGATCCTATTCCCGGGCCCTCAACAATAAGAATGAGAGACTATCCCAGAGACAATGAGCATCAAAGTGGACTGAGTAATATACACTGTTACGATAGTGACATAGCTTCAACTCATGGTCCAAACTCCAGCATTTTGTTGAGTCCCCAGACATCCCCATTTGGTCCATTGCCAAAAGTATATTTCTAGTCACTTCTGGCTGACTTAGGGCAAGAAATGGCAAGAAAGGTATTTGGTTGGCCCCCATGGTCTATTTCTATCCAATATTAGGTAAGAAATAAGGCCAATTTCTTGCCCAAAAGTCACTCTGCACTTGGAAAATATTGAACAAGAAGTGATTCATTGTAGGAACTACAATATAAAACATATTATAATAAGTAAGGGGCAGCCCAATGCACAAGGCTCCTAACAATGTGGGGTCTGGGGAGGGATAGATGTATGCAGCATTACCCCTGCACTTACAAAGAGGCTGTTTCCACTTTCCAGGATTTGAATCCCAGTCACCCAGGTCACAATGAAGCAACTCAACCGTTATGCCAAGACCCTCCCTCAAAATATATTATAATAAATACAATAAAATAATATGATATGGTACATTATATAATATAAAATGCATAATGTTTTTATAGAATAAAAAAACGTATTATATTGTATTATTTTAATAATTTATTTAACTATATAAATATCATAATATTTACAATATAATATTGTGATATATATACTGCAAAAATGGATCATATTTAATATAGTATTGCAAATAATAAAGTAAATCATGATAATATAATAAAAAAAAATGCCATTACCCAATGTTGGTTTAGTTATCTAGGAGGGGTAGGTTGGGGCTTAACCTTTGGCATTTTGTCACACAAAGTGGCTTCCCTCAGACTCAAACCCACATCCTTAGGCTTGCCAACCCAAGATTTTACCATTACACCTAGTAGTGGGCCTAGTGGTGCCTAAAGCATGATAATATAATATATTATGTAAAACTTTATAACATAGTATAATTTTGCAGTGAGTGAATACAATCATACTTTACCTTTCTCTCAAAAAAATGGGTTACACATGATTTTGTAAAGAAATGGGTTACACATGCTCACATCTATATATATATATATGTGTGTGTGTGTGTGTGTGTGTGTGTGTGTGTGTGTGTGTGTGTGTGTGTGTGTGGAGGTGGAATAATTAGTTATTTGCCCCCACTAAGCTGTTTATATCTAGACCAATGGCCTAGTTGGTTGCCCAAACAATGGGCCTCCAAAATGCCTAAGCATTCACTTATTTGATGCATAAGGGATGCTTTAGATACACTGATCTAAATCCAGGCTGTACAGATGAAAAACATAAGCAAATGCAAGAGCAGGAGATCTTACTGAGACAATGCCCGATAAGGATGGTAAACAACCAAATAATAGTCAAGAGCTTCTAGCACCTTCATTTCCATTTCCAGCAAGTCTTTGATTTCATACCGATACTTCTCATCTGTATCTGTGATTTAAAGAAAATAGAGCAGGTTCTCAGCAAAGAGAAACCATCTTGGAAAATTAAACAAATGATTAACACCAGCTCCCTTAACAATAAATAGTTACTTATTTTTTTGATGTAGAAGACAAGAAGTCTAGCCTGCACTGTGCTCTCTTCTGCTTTTGATGCCAAGTACAAGCAAGTAGGAGCCACCAGCCGTGGATCATATTCTGTCATACTCTTTCTGAAGGCACAAACTTGTTATGTTAATTAATTTTACCAAGGCACTGCCAGACTTGAAGCTATCTTGAATCTAACATGCTTTACCTTCACCATAAAATTATCCATCCAAACAAAAATTTAAAGCATACAAAGCACAAAGAGAGAGAGAGAGAGGTGATAAACTTCTGGATTACAAGTAATGTTAACAAGATATTAGAAGAACATGGCTGGATACAGATTTTCATATGAAATAGCATCACATAAGGAATCTTAAAAATTAATGAACACAATCAGAAGTGTGCCAAAAACATCCATTCTAGTTCCTGCTACCCACCCCATAATAAAATCTTTGTTTTCTTACTGATCCAGAAAAAAAAAAAAAAAAAAAAATCAAAGAGATTTCTTATGGGATGGGGGTGGTAAAGGACTAAAGGGAAGAAGTCACCGTTGATTAAATGGTAAGTGGTCATGGAGGTTTGTAAAGGAGAGAGAAACACTATAGAGAAGAATAATGGTCTGCAAATATGGTGTGGCGAGGTTTGTATGGAATACAAAGGATGTTTCTTCATCATTTGGGATTTTAAAAAGGGATCATGATGCTCCATTCTGAATTTGTGGGTTACATTAAATTTGTTTTGAGGGACAGAAGTAGGGTGGGGAAGATAAATGGTATATGGAAGGAAAAGCCAGAAGGCTTTGTGATTTATAACCAAGATTGTATAGGTTTAATTCAATGTTGCCAGACGCAGACTGGAGTAGATGGTTGGACCACTTAACCCATGACCCAGTAAGAATTCCAGTTTAATATACATTCTCGAATTTTTGAAATCCAAGGAGAACTGCTATTGAATGGGCAGTTTAGTGAAAACCAGAGTTTTCAGAGAAAGTCCAATTTTTAACTAACTACCTAGGTCAAACATACTCACTGTTGTAACTAGAAGAAACATTGAGGGGATTTGAACCTCCACAACTCCACTGAAAATTAAGACACAATCCATTAAGCCATATACCATTTTGCACATATTTTCATTTTGTATAATATTTATATGTATATTATATAGTGGCCATTACTTGGTGTAATGATAAAATCTCAGGCTGTCAAGTGTGATAATGTGGATTCAAGTCCAAGAGAGGTCACTTTATGCAAAAAAAATGCCTAGGTTTAGGACTTTATCTAGTCTACTCCTCCGATGACCACAGATAGCCGGCACCAACATTGGGTAATGACCCAGTGTTCCCTATTACAGAAATACAGTGCAAGCATAAACCAAGAACAGATCCAATAACACAGATAAAAAAGCAAAAGAAAGAAAGAAAAGAACCCCATTAGTAATACAAGAAAAGCATAAACCAGTGCCTCATACAAGTAGAAAAATAACCCTTAGAACCACCAGATCAACCAAACCCAAATGACGAAACAACTCCATGAGCACAAAAGCATAGACAATAATCTACCAACTTTACATAGCAAACTAAACCTGCAGCAACCAAAACCCTAATTCTGCAGGCCTTCCTCTCCAACCTCTGCCTCTTCCTCTTGTCACTCTCCCTCTCCCATGATTCCTTCTTCCATTAGCTCTACAAAGCATGTCTTCCACATCTACCTCTTCCAAATTGAAAAAAGGACATTACCAAATGTTGATCCCAGCTAACTGTTTCCTATCAAAAAATAAAAAATAAAATAAAATAAAATAAAAGTTGTTGATCCCAAGTCCCAACTTAAAATATATTCTCTGAAAACATTTTTTGTTTTGATATTCTTTTCCACTCATCTTACCCAATCCAATTTTCTACCTTGCTATCATGACCCTCGAATAAGTTGTTTCTGATGAACCCAAATCGTTTTCAGATCATCTTCAATTGGAGTCACCATGATCAAAGCCAGAAACAGTTTCTGAGTTCTGGATAGGTAGACTCTCCTCCCTATGATGAAAACTAGCATGATTCTATAAATGTAATTGTACGAATTGATGATTAAAGAGAGATACATCTTTATTACAATGCTAAAAAGGTACAACAGTTCAATCATAGCATATGCACTGAACAGATGATGGACTAGCAGCAAATTCTTCCAATCATCAAGGGATCATAACACACCTTGTGTAAACACGTCTCATGTAAGTAACTGCAGTAGCAACAACCCTGAAAATATTGATCAGAACATTAGAGATTATTCAATTCCTTTAAGTGTATGCAATAACCCAACATACAACACAAGAAATGATGCTCCAAAATACTGGGCTAGGAACCACTGGAGAAACAAAGGCCATAACAATGATATTTCCTGGGGCTAGTAGTAGTGAGAACTCTTGAAAAATTTGATGACAAGTGTTGCCACTTCTGAAGACATCCTATAATTGTTTTCAATAATAAAGATAAAATCCATTAAAATAAAATAAAAAGAGAGATAGGATACAAGAATATGTGATAAGAAACTCGTAAAATGGTTGAACACCCTAATTATCCTCTCCCTAGTGTAGAGATTATAAGAGCTGATAATATTGTTTGGGAGTATCTTTTTATCATGTATCCTATGTACTATATCATTTTACATTGTTCTATTTGTTATCTTATTCTTTCTTCTACTTGAGAAGGGCATAGTTGTCCTTTCTCATATTCTGTATCTCATTAATATATAATACATCTTGCTTGGGCATGTGTAACATAAGGCACACTCTTCAAATCTGTCTTCCTTGCTCTGGTACGAACCCTAGTTATCATGGTATCAGAGCTGGTCACTTACATCAGCTTTTGATTCAAGTTCAAAAGATAAACATTGAAGCTTTCTATCCCTGTTACTAAAGATTAATTTGAGGACAGTTTAAAGGCTGTTCTGATCAGTACGAACTCGGCACTGTTTTTCTGGATTTTTGCATTTCAGAGTGAACTTCTCACTTTTTTCCATCAGCTGCTTGATCCAATCACTTTGTGCTGTTGGATTTTGATTGCCCTAGGCTCTTGCACTTACACATTCAGTTGGATTGAAGTTCGGACTTGTTTTGAAGGGTTCTGAATCCCTTTCCTATCATCAATAGGCCTGCAACTTACCTACTCTGGACTGTTACATCTTGCAACTATTATTCTGAAGTTTTTTCTTGAAAGTTTTGATCCTTCTCTTTTGCCCTAGTCTTTTTATCCCCCCATATTATTGGACTGGTGGCTGGACCAGTTATTTTGGAGGGTTTTGACCCATTGTCTGCCTTTTTGGAACCTGTACTTTCCATCTTTACACTGATACTTGATTCCCTAGTATTTTGGGAGTTGTTTCCTGGCAAAGGCTGATTTCTTTGGTGCTGTACCTCTTCGTTGTATGCTGTTTACATCATCAAGTCGGAATTTAGTTGGATTACAGCAAGATTTCCTTTTATTACTTTCTTTAATACCAGTTTTCTTGCCTTGGAGGGTGCCTTCTTGGTGTTTTCATTGAAGGAATGACCTCAGACAGGAGAGATTCTTGTCATAAGATTTGATGGGAGTAATTATTCACTATGGAAGCTCCATGTTGAGAATACATTGTAGCACGAGGGTTTTCTTCCTTCCTCAGAGAACCTATTGATCGTGGGAAGACATTTTTTGCTGACCCAGATTACAGGAAAGACCTGCTAACATCAGACCACCACTGGATGATGTCAACAATTCATACAAGTGACGGCAACAGTTCTTGAATCTGGTAGGGTTTGATGCGCCCTGATTTCAGAAACATTTTGGTATGACTCTTGTAGTCATTTGAAGCTTCTATGATTTATTTTGATTTTATCAATCAAAAATTGGCTAAAAGTCCAGATTCGATGTTGGGTCTTTCTATGTAGTCTTTGAAGAAGTTTTTCTGCATGAAACCAAGTTTCCTTAGCTTGTTTAAGTTTCTGGATTAACAGGAAGAGGTCCCATATTTTTCTAAACCTAAGAAAAATTTTGGGAGACTTTTCTCTCCCCCTATTTTTCCGCCAGCCAGCTTTTTGCCCATGTTTTGGCTTCCATCCGTGTTTTGACCTATCTCTTTGGGATGTGTGTTGATTTTCTGTTGGGATTCCTTTTTTCGCAATCGAGAGGTATGGAGCAGTCCAAGGATGTGTCGGCTACCTTCAGTGTGCTTCCTAGTAATATTGACACTTATAGCAGCATGATAACTACAGAAAAACTTGATGTGACAAACTTTTTGGAGTGGTCCCAACAAGCTAAACCTATCATCACAGGAAGAGGTAAGTTGGGAATTATTACAAGCAAGGAAGTGAAGCTGAAGGCTGAAGATCCAAAGCTTGCTAAATGGGAGCAAAACAACTTGTTGGTAACGTCATGGTTGGTCTGCTCAATGCAGCCCCATATTGCTCACAACTATATGTTTCTATCTACTACCAAAGATATTTGGAACAAAGTTGGTGCTACCTACTCCCAGGCTAAGAATACAGCTAGAGTGTATCAGTTTCAAGAGAAGTTTGTAGTATGTGTCAAGGGGAGAGATCAGTGGACATGTATTTTTCTTTCCTTCAGTCACTCTGGAAGAAATGGATCACTTGTAGGCTTTGGAAAGGAAAGACCCCAAAGACAATGAGCAGTACTAGAGATATATTGAAGAGAACAGTGTCTTTGATTTCCTGGTTGGTTTGAATCCTAAGTTTAACTTTACAAGACAACACATTCTTAGTGCAGATATTGTCTCTCTTTCAACCACCTACTCCCTAGTGCAAACCCAAACAGAGCATAAGCAAGCACATTGTCAATGAAAAGCCTGAAGATGTGTATGTGAGAACTGTAATAAGCCTAGACATACCAAAGAAGTTCAAGACAAAAAAGGAAAGGTAATGCCCATTTGGCACTGCTGGTAGTGATGTTCGACCCACTTCTGCTCCATCTTCTTCCCTAGACTCCTCTGGTGTGATGGATAAACTTCGGAGTCTCTTGCTGCACCAAGAAAGGAGTGGGACGTCTACATCAACAGGTTCTGAAAATCATTCTAGTGCCTTTGCAAAGACAAGTATTGCACTTGCTTGTTCCTCCTCTAACAATTCCTGGACTGTAGATTCCAAGGCCAGTGTCCACAAGACTAGTATGTCTTCATCCTTCACCTCATATAAGTTAGCTCTGGAAGGGTAAAATTATGGTAGCTGATGGATCTCAAACTCCAATTTCCAGTCTGGGTGAAGTCAAACTTACCAACAATCCCACCCTAAACTCTTTCCAACCTTAAAAAACCTTTCTGCCAAATTTTCAGTTTCCAACCTTCTTCCTTTCTCCTCCACTCTGACAATTAAAGAATCACCAAGAATCGCCTTGCTTTCTTGATCCCCCCAAACTCCTTTTCAAATGCCTTTGACCTAGTCACCACTCCATCCTTAGTAACAGAACACCGATTCAGTTCCTCCCCTCTATGATTTAAAACTCGGTGCCCCCTTTCTCATCAAGCTTCTTCTTTACGCCTCTGACCCTAGACCCTCAAACTTATTTGTAGGACCAGCGCCAACCAAACCATCCTTAGTCTTGAAAAAATTTTGAAACGTGAACAATTTGGAACTTACTTGAATCTCTGACCTTCTTTCATCCTCTTGTTCACTAGTCTCTTCTGACCTAAATCCACTCCAAGTTTGCTGACTTGGACATCAATTCTTAGTAGATTATCACTAACGTTAATAATGTCGCTCTCTCCTTTTTTACCCTTCTCTCTTGGATTGCAAGCCTCTTTAATTCCTGACTTCACCCCCTTCCTCCTCCTTTTTGTGCCTTTTCCCCCTCTTAAATCTCCCCCTCTCCTTCCCCCCATCTTACTTTCTTTCCTCCCTTTTCTCCTTCATATTACCCCAAACCATAGTTTTCAAGGCACCAAGACGAGGCTAGCCAACAGGGGGGTGCCTTGTCGCCTTGTCGCCTAGTTGCCTAGGCGATGGATTTTTTTTCTATAGAAAACATAGATCCTAGGGTAGTTCCCCAGGTACCATAACCATATTTCCTTAATATTTTATTCATAATTTTCATAAGAAAAATATAARGTTCATGTTAAAGTATAAAAAATCAACATATTCATGAGAAGAAAAAGAAGAAAAAGAAAATTCAAAAAATATAGGGGCTGAACCCTTATTTTTGTTATGTAAAAGAAGAAAAGAAAAAGTAGTAGTAGTAGTAGTAAAGGTGTTGATTAGACAAAATTTAAGTTCTAAATTACTTATTGGTTCAGGTTTTAAAGTCTTTGGGGGTTCAATACAGCATTTAGCAATGTTTATATTGATTAAACCCTAACAAGTAAGAAAAATAATAAAAAGAAATTAGTATATAAACACACAAAATAAACATTTTAGTTTAATAGTGCCTTTTTTATAATTATAATGTCAAAAAATAAAGAATAAAAATGTATTTTATAATACATAGTACAAAGCTGCTTGGCAATTAGGCAAGGTGAACCTCAAAGGGTGCCTTGTCGCCTAGGCGTCGCCTTGACAACCATGCCCCAAACTTCAATCAGAAGAGACCAACCCATTCCTTTTTTTTTTTTTTTTTGATCAGTAACAAGAAACTTTATTAATGATATGAAACTATGTGAAACTTTAGGTACAAAGGGGGGAGGTAAAATGTCTTAACTCCCACCAACAAAATACATTGGAAGAAAGTCAAAAGTTAGCCCAAAATATAGATTCCCTATTCACCCCTTGCTTGGCTAACCCATCAGCAAATGAGTTAGCAGTCCTCTTCACCCAGCTGTAATGCACCACTATATCCCTACTTAGCCATTTGAATTTTTTCTTCTCATTGTTATAACTCCACAACCCGCTGTTTTCTTCCTTTAGCCACCTAATCACCACCTCTGAGTCACCTTCAAGGACCAATCATCTGATGTTCAAATCTCTTGCTCTTTGGATACCTTCCAAGGCTACAGAAATCTCAGCCCTAAGAGAGTCTCCTTCTCCAATTAGGCCTGAGAACATGGCAGTGATAACCCCATCCTCATTCCTGAACACTCCCCCAATCCCAGAAGGTCCAGGATTCCTTAAACAACTACCACCAAAATTCAGTTTTATGAACCCAGAGGAAGGAGGGGACCAATAAGGACTACGAGTCCTCTTATATAGGGCAGAGGAACCTATCTCTTTCCAATTTCTTACCAAATCAGCCACAGAATACTCAGAAAACAGCTCCATAGTTTTCAGCCAGTGGGCTACCCTTACAAGTATTAGATCTAACAAGTCTTCCAGGGTTCTTTCCTTGTCTGAAAATATTTGTGAGCTTCTTTCTTCCCATAGGGACCAACACACTGCTGCCCTAATGCTTCTCCACATGGTCTTCCCTCTCTTCTTCGGCCATCTGAAAAAGGAAGAAGAGAATAAACTCTGGATACTCCCAAGGGGAGTCCAAATACACCCAAAGAGGGAAAAAACCCACTCCCATACTGTTTTAGCAACCGAGCTACAAAGAGTACACCTATTAGGAAGTAAACAAGAATTGGGTCTCTTTTTCTGAAGTAGGTCAATTGTGTTAATTCTTTCCAAGAAGGTTTCCCAACAAAAACTACCAACCCGAGGAGGAATGGGCTTGCTCCAAATTTCTTTAACCGGGAAGGACAACCCAATAGGATCAGAAGGTTGAGTTAATGTCTCAAAAAACGAAGCACAAGAGAAAATACCTGAGGAAGAAGGGGTCCAGAATCTGGTGTCCTCCTTATTAGGGTCCAAGAAAACATTTTCGATGATGGATAACAGAGACATTATGTATCCCAAGTCTGTATCCCTAATTGCCCTTCTTAGTCCTAGGTTCCACCCAAAACCAGAAGAAGAGTCTGAAGGGCTTAAGAAGGATGAAATGGGTTCATTTTTCAAATCTAATAGAGCATACAAGGAGGGAAATTGGTGCATCAAAGGTGAGTCCCCAATCCAATGTTGTTCCCAAAATTTTATTATGTTACCAAAATTTTATTATGTTACCGAAGTTAAGACCATACCTGATCCAAGGGGAGAAGATTGGAAGCAAATCATGAATGGCTTTCCAAGGAGAGGCAGCTGTAGCCCTTGCCAAAATTCCCGGTTCCCAACTGTTGTCTTCATCCCATGTATGCTAGCTACAATCCGTGTCCACAAATTATCTCTTTCCAATGGAAACCACCATAACCATTTACCCAACAATGCCATATTCCTTTTCCTAATATTTACCACTTCCTACCTCACCCTGTGATCCCTTTTTTCCCCTCCTGGCTCCCACAAGAAATCCCTCATTAATTTTTCCAAAATGTTAGAAACCTTTGTGGGGATCTTAAACACTGACAAGAACTAAACAGGTAGATTAGCTAGGGTAGACTTAATCAAAGTGACTCCCCCCCCCAAGGAAATATCATTTTTTTCCTCCAAGAAGCAAGTCTTTTTTCAAATCTTTCCAATATCGGGTTCCAAAAGCTACCACAACTACAAAAGACCCAAAACAAATAGTCATACCTGAATGGCTTGTAGGCTTTATCACTGCCCTCTCTAGTCTTCCTACTCCCTTCACCCCCTGAATAACACTGCCAATGCCAACACCAGAAACAGGAAGCCTTTCGAACTTGAATTGAGCCACCTCTACACCACTGTTCATGTCCTCTTTTTTCTGATCTCACAAACTTGGTAATGGCCTAAATCCAATCATTAGACGTGCCACTTCAATAACTTGGAAACACCCTTTTTCTATCTCTCCATTTAAACTTTGCGTCTTTCCCCTTATTTGCCATAAGGAATTTGGGCTCCACAGTATTACTATTACACCCGTTTCTCGATATTAGAGATTGATTTTCAATCGTCAAAAAAAAAAAAGATATTAGAGATTGATTCCCTCTCCCACCGCCGACAGCTTCCCTCGAGTGTATTGAACCAAATGGATCAGCTATTAAACTTCCCCTTATTAATTTGCACTTATCCAAACATTTTCCACCAGTCCCCTCCACGTGTCTAATACCATTAGAACCGTCAATCTCCTTCATAATAGTGTAGGCCCCATTTGACTTTCCTGTCCCTTTGGTAGTCGAAAAGGAACTCACATGTTCCTCCAACAGGCCACATACGGACTCCTTGGCTTCTCCCCTCTCCTCTGCCACGTCATCCCATGCCCTTTATTAAAAAGAACCAGTTCAGCCCCTTTTGTGGAAATTACTTCTTTAGCCCCGCCCTTTCAGTTCTCTCATCTTCAACCTCAGGACAACCCTTCATCTTCCCAATAGGGATCTCACTAATAGAGAAGGTCTCTACCCTGCAAACTGTCGTCACCGTCTTGCTGAAACCCAAGCAGCCCTTAGAAGAGGCAGAGTATCTGTTAGTTCCTTTACAAAATCCAATAATTGTTCTATGACTTTCCAACTCATTGTGTCTTCCAGGACCTGAACACAGGAAGGACGAATGGAAGTGGACATGTGGCTGATGGAGTCTATCTTTTTTATCACACATCTGAACAACAGTTGTTGTTCCAAACTAAGTCCTATCCCGATGAAAATTTGAGTCTTTTGGAATTATGGCATTGTCATCTTGGCCATGACTTTTGGTTCTGATATCAGAACAGAATAAATTAAATAAGATGCTAAAAACTCCAAGCTACAGTCCAAATCTGGCTCCAACTGAAGTAGGAAAGTAGAGAAGAAGTTGAAGAGTGAAGGCTCAAAGCAGGTTGAGAATGAACAGAACTTAATCTCTCACCACCACCCCACTTTTCCTTCATTATAATAAAACTAGAATTACAATATTACACCTGAAAAGAAAAAGGCAAATAACTAACAAGGGAAAATAAATGAGAAAGACAAAAAAAAACTACAATCAGCACTTATAATTTACTCCCCCTCAAGTTGGAGTATATATATCATAAAGTTCCAACTTGTTACAAATGTATTTCATCCGATTCTGACTTAATCCTTTGGTAAAGAGGTTGGCTAACTGGCAGATGATCTAAATTAAAAGAAAATAAGATCAAACCTTTGCCTCACTTTAACCTGTTGGGCCAGCTTCCAAATATCTGCAACAAGGACATATATAAGTGAATACCAAAAGAGAAGCCTTATTAGACAATATAATTGCAAAATTAAGAATGGAAAACAAAATGAGTAAACAAGCATAACAATGGAAGTAACAAGGCTATCTGTATGCATAAAATAAAGAAATAGAAGGTTATTCAAGGGAAAGAAGAAAGCAGCCGGAAGGATTTATGCTGATAGTGACATCATGATCATGTACTGGATTCTAGTTTTACCAAATTCTCTGAGTCTTCTAGAGAGTTTTTGCGATCCAATTTTTGGTCTACCATTGAGATAGGTTGACTTTGTGCATGGATTATTTAGTTATGTGATTATGTCAGCAGTTGATGTCTGTTCTTCTTTGTATGGTTGTTTTTTGATGAGTTTCTTTGTATGGTTGTTGATGTAATAATTTTCTGTTTTCCTTGTGGAGCTTTCAGGAACTTTTGTGAGAAGTATTATCTCATCACCTTTCACTTAAGTATTAAAATCATTTTCTCCCACTTCATACCATGTTTTCTTTTGAATCCCATGAATAAACTCATCAGAACAAATATTCATATCCTATTTGATATTTGAAATTATTATTGATATTAACACACACAAAGTTATGCATCATTTTGCAACTGAAAAGGAAAACACGAATTCAGCTTATTTCTGGAAAAGAGGAAGATTAGACATACTATGAAAAAGATTTAGCCAGATAAAATCACTTAAAACTTAGGCCTACCAATCACTGTTTTCACAATCCTACCAAGAGAAATGATTCAAGAACTAGACCAGCGGGTGTTAGCAAACAATTGTACACGCATTCCATGTAATGGTAATATAGATGCAATGATTATAATGGACTGGACATTATCATGTGTACCATGTATATATATTATACATAGAAAGGATTAGGTCCACAACAGCAGTTTCTCTCCTCACTATAGTGCTTCATGACCATCTCAAAATATATGTACGAGGTTCAGCACTTAGCCCTTATCTATTTCAATTGATCCTAGATGAATAGACTAAACATATTCAGGAAGAAGTTCCATGGTGCATGTTGTTCACAGATGACATTGTTTTAATTGATGAAATTAATGAAGGATTAAATGCAAAATTAAGCTTATGGACAAATACCTTAGAAACAAGAGGTTTTAAAATAAGTATGACTACAACAGAGTAATTGACCATATTTTGGCTGTTTGAGAAAGCAAATTAAGCCTTAAAGAGTAATTGGAAGGTGGAGTAAAGAGGAGGTTAGATCTAGGATGTTGGAAGTGAAGAAAGAGAGTGTCATAACAACTAAATAGGACTTGGACCTTCAGAAGAAATCAGGACTTTATCTAACATAAAGAAAAATTCTGGAATGGAAACAGAAACTGAATAAAAGAGGTTGACCCTAGAGATTTAAAAATAAATAAATCATACAAGAAGTTTTCTCATATGGAGAATATCTTGTGGAATCTTTTCTTGGTGGAAGGAGGCTCAGAGGTTTTCCATTGGATAACATGTTCCAGCAAGGAATGCAACAACAAAATGATAAATCAAAGTCGATGGAAACCTTATTGACTATTRAGAATGAGGATAAGGTACAGAATACAATTTTTGACTATCATAAACAACTAAACTCAAAAACATCTTTTTTTTTATCAATGAATAGTTAATAGTAATTTACTAACCCCATGAAATCACACCCTCAAATCCTCTCATTGCATCTTTTTCTCCCCAATTTCTCATCCTACACTTTCTCAACTCAATGTGTCTTTCACATCGAACAAGAATTTCTTGACATATTATGCACCCAACATACATATCCAAAAATTCAGAAGTTTTTTTTTTCCATCTTATACATATGCACAGTTAAAACGCAAAGAAAAAAAGAAAAAAGGACTAAGAACAAAATAAAAAATTGTAGAAATTCCACAAGGCAAGATAAGTTTTCCAACAAGTAGCCAAACTCAGTTAAGAAGCCTGTACATTAAGTCCCCAGCAAATTCAAAAAAAAAAAGTACATTTATTGACCAATGAAAATTTACAACCAGCAGGGAAGTTCGAACTATAAAATCCTAGAAATTCACAGCCAAGGAAGATTTATCAATAAATAGTCGAAACCCAGATGAAGGAACTTCACATAAAATCCAAATTTCCGAAACGCCAAAATGAATTTAGAGAGAATGAGATGAAACCCACATAACAAAATGAAAACAACAAACACCAGTGCGCTCAATTAATGGCATTCAATCGATCCGCAAAAAAGGAAGCAAATGGAGAACTTACAGTTAGCCATGTGCATCTTAATAATCTTGAAATCTTCCAGAGTTATGCCCTTCTCCTTGTCAGGCGAGTGCACCACGTCCACCTCTTCTTGGTCCATAAGCTGTTTACTGAAGAAACAGAAAACAAAGCATGATGAAACAACATCAGATGATCAGACTAGTGGAAGCCAAAGAAAACAAAAAACAAACTCGACTCCTTGATCAAAAGAAATAAATAAAAGAAAAGAAAAAAGAGATGAGTTGTTACAAGTGAGAAGATGTCCAGAAATTAGCAGCCATTTCTGGGATTCTGGAAAGAAGACCTGGCTGAGCAAACCGTTGATTTTGTTACAGTCCTTTTAACGGACCGGGGTTGCACAGGAAGAACAATCAAGGAAGGAGGGACCGACCATGCTGATGCTGGAGAGTCTTTCAGAGTCCAACTTCAACGCGTGGTGTGCACCAAAACCGTGGATGTTCCATGTTCGGTTAGCAGATTATTCCCACCGCCTGGGGCCGCTGAAGCGGCTAAACTGAATGACTTATTATTTTGTCTTTTAGTGGGTAAAAGCTGATGGAACCTCCTAAGTCCTAATTCTTAAGCCCGTGGGTGGGGGCCCCCTGCACCCACGCACCTCCGATCTGAACTTGCCCAGCCCAACAGTATGCTTGTCAACGGATCGGGTCTGAATGAAGACAGGGTGGTACCGAGGCAAAATAACAAACCCATAACCGTTTGGATAAATTTGGGATAATCGGATTAGATTATATACCAGGTGATGTTTGTCATCGATGACGATTTTCCAGAAATCGGCGCCATGTAAGATTCACATCAGAAATATCTGTGATTTTTTTTTTTTATTTGGTTGGCCGATTATGCAAATTTTGAAAATCAGCCAAGAATCGATTATTGAAATCAACCTTTTTTAGGGATCACTTTTTCTATCGATTTCCTTATTTTGAACTGATTCCAATTTTTTGAGATAACATGACATCCAATATAGCAATGAGTAATAACTATAATACAAAAATCATCGGCCCTGAAAATCAATACCAAACCAACTCAAAGTCGATTTCTCAAAAATCAGCTTATATGGCATAAATGATTAAAAACAACAATTTTATATGATTTTTCAAAAAGCACTCATTCATTTCTGGATAATCGGCAAGGAGAAACCATCATCAACGCCAAACATAACCTAAAACTATATTCGTTTAAGGATAAATTTCTTAAAGTACCCCCCAAGTTTTACAAAATTGACTAATTCTACCTTTACTGTTTAGATATTGTTTTAAAGTACCCATAGTTTTCTAACAATTGACTAAATCCTCCCTTTTCGTTAATATCCGGTAACAGAAAGATGGAAAAGACTATTTTACCCATCATTCTTCTTTAAATTTTCAAAATGAAACATTTGAATAAACCTCAAGTGATTAATAGCAGCTCTGTTAGGTCCTAATCAAAGCTAGAGCTAAAGAAAAATATTCTGCTTAGGGTGAGAATAAGACCACAAGATTTTATTAACTTCCAACTCCCCTCCCATGCTGGTTGGGCGGTGTTTAAATACAAGAGAATCCTCAACTTCCTTCCCCTAACTTAGCCATTGATTAAGGGATTAGGTTCTCTATTAGCTARTCGATCCCTAAGCCATAGGAACATAACCACTTAACCACTAACAACCAGACATAGTCTTAAGTAATAACTGCTTAACCAAATTGACCACTTCCTAAGGAGCCAACCCTTGGCTTTTATTGACCTATTCCTACGTACTGATAACAAGGAAATAGAACAGAAATAAACTTATAAGAAAATGAAGCAGTCCTGATGCCACGTCATGCCATGCCACGTCACGCCTTGCATGGGCCATGCATGGGGCGTTAATCGATGTATTTGGGATTCCTCACGGGTGTTCTCAGCGACCTTCGTGGCTTATCAATACCTCCCCCTTTGGCAAGAACCTTGTCCTCAAGGTTCATGAATCTGTCCTTTATTTCTTGCGTGTTCTCCCATGTAGCGTCCTCTAGTGGAAGCTGTCTCCATTTGATCAAGCTTTCCTCTATAATTTTAGACGGGTATCTAGTATTTCCTCCGGTTCAATAGTCAAGTCACCATCTTCGGTCAGTGGGGGTATTTCGTTACTAGCAGCAATTGTGTCTCCCCATTTTTTCTTGAGAAGGGACACATGGAATACCGGGTGAATGTGTGAACCTTCAGGAAGCTTGAGTTTGTAGACCATCTTCCCAAGTTTTTCTTCAATTTGATAGGGTCCGTAGAACTTACACGCAAGCTTTTGATAGGCCCGTTAAAACACAGTGTTGACGATAAGGATGAAGTTTCAGAAACACAAAATCGCCCACTTGATATTCAACGTCCCGTCGTTTGGAATCTGCGAGTTGCTTCATTCGATTGTTTGCAGCATGCAAATTCTCCTTAAGTTGTCGTAACAAGGCATCCCGAGAGGCTAAGCTACGGTCCACTTCATTTACCGGACAAGAACCTTCATCATAATGTGGGATTGTCGGTGGAGACCTTCCATATAGAGCTTGGAAGGGGGTCATTTCGGTAGATGCATGATAGGTAGTATTGTACCAGAATTCAGCCCATGGGAGGAAGGAGTGCCATTTACGGGGCTACTAGTACGCAAAGCACCGGAGGTATTGCTCAAGACAACRATTGCGATGGTATGTGGAGCTCATCTTCAATTGTGTGCCTGACAATTTGAAGAACTCTTGCCAAAAATGACTGATGAATACTGGGTCTCGATCGCTTATGATGGATCGCGGCATACCATGAAGTTTCACAACCCCTTCAATGAATCTTTCGGCCACCAATTTTGCTGTATACGGGTGGGCGAGAGCCAGAAAGTGTGCTGATTTGCTCAACCTGTCAACCACAACAAGAATTGAATTCTTACCAATTGAAGGTGGGAGGCCATCGATGAAGTCCATAGTGACGTCATCCCATACTTGACAAGGGATTGGAAGTGGTTGTAGGAGTCCGRCAGGTGACAAGGTCTCATTTTTAGTGCATTGGCACACTTCACAGGAAGCAACAGAATTTTTCACCGCTTGGTGCATTGATGGCCAATAAAATTGTTGCACTAGTCTCTTGTATGTCCGTAGAACAGCCGAATGTCCACCCATTGGAGAGTTGTGGTATTGTCGCAAGAGTTGTTGGGTGATGTGGGAATGAGGAGGCACCACTACTCGGTTTTTGTAGTAAACTAACCCGTTGCACCAGCTGTAAGGAATGCTCGGGTTTTCGGTTGCTTGTTGGCTAATTCTTTTCATGTAAGGGTTGTCACTAGCTTCGGCTTTGATTGTATCCCATAATGAAGTTTGCGACACAAACATGGCATCCAGACTAGGACTGCCAACCACCCGTGATAGTGCATCAACTGCATTGTTCTCCCGGCCTGGCTTGTATTGGATCTCATAATCATAGCCAAGTAGTTTAGTTACCCATTTTTGTTGCTCAGGTGTGACTACTCGTTGCTCCAACAAGTATTTGAGACTGCGTTGATCTGTTTTGATGTAGAATTTCCGACCCAGCAAATATGGTCTCTATGTCTGAATGGCGTGAATGATTGCTAGCATTTCTTTTGCATAAACCGACCATGAACGTTTGGTGGCGCCCAAGGCGCGACTCATAAACGCAATAGGCCTTCCTTGTTGTGACAGAACTGCCCCTATGCCGTCCCCCGAAGCATCTGACTCAATGATAAATGGCTCATTGAAGTTCGGCATTGCGAGTGTTGGGGTAGTGGTCACAGCTTTCTTGAGTTCCTGGAAGGCATTTTCTACCTCATCTGGCCACCCGAACTGCCCCTTTTTTAGGAGATTGGTGAGAGGACATGCTATGATGCCATAGTTACAGACAAATTTTCGGTAATAACCTGTAAGTCCTAGGAACCCACGCAATTCAAAGATGTTAGTAGGCTTAGGCCAATTCAGCATAGTTTGGATTTTKCCTTGATCCACCTTAAYCCCTTCAGGAGTTACAATATGGCCTAAGTATTCCAGTCTTGTACCCCGAAGGCACATTTGCTGATTTTGACAAAAAAWTGATGCTGCCTTAGTATTTCCAAAGCCTTTTGAACATGTTCAAGGTGCATGTTCTAGTTGGGGCTATAGATCAAAATGTTATCAAAGAAGACAAGCATAAATTTACGGAGGTACGGGCGAAATATTGAATTCATGATTGCTTGAAATGTAGATGGGGCATTACAAAGACCAAAGGGCATAACTAGGTATTCATAGTGGCCATTATGAGTGCGAAAAGTAGTTTTATGAATATCTAGGGGATGCACTCGAACTTGGTGGTATCCTGCCCGTAAGTCCAGTTTAGTGAAATAAGTAGCTCCATGGAGCTCATCAAGCATGTCATCTACTGTGGGAATTGGAAATCTATCTTTGATGGTTACGACATTAAGCGCTCTATAATCAGTGCAAAAACGCCATGAACCATCCTTCTTTTTAACCAACAAAATAGGAGATGAGAAAGGACTAGTACTAGATCTTATAAGCCCCAACTTTAACATATCATGAACTTGCTTTTCAATTTCGGCCTTTTGGAAATGGACGTACCTGTATGGTCTCACATTGACGGGCTCGGTTCCTTCCTTTAGATTGATATGATGGTCAATTTCCCGTGTGGACGGGAGGTGCGTCGGTTCTTGGAACACATCTTCGAATTTCTCCCGTAGTTGTTGCATCTCCGGGTTGAGATCCTGTGATGTTGGCTCAATGGCGGCTTGAAGGCAAATAGCAAACATTGAACTCCCTTTCCGCTTGTCTTTGGAGATAGTTTTGACTAATGCGGGTTGAATTGATTGCGCATCGATCCCATGTAGTTTATGAGTTTGGTTGCTCCACTGGAACTCCATCGTTAGTTGCTTCCAGTTGCATACTACCATTCCCAATTGTTCCAACCAATGGACACCTAAGACCAAATCTAGTCCCATTAGTGGTAAAGCGTATAAAGTGAGGATAAAAGGGATACCTTGAAGGAGAACTTGGACATTTTCGAATCTGCCTTGGCATTTTAACGACCTCCCACTTGCCACCTTGACATTGAATGGTTCGGTTGGTACTACGGGCAGTCGCAACATATTGGCCACTCTTTCATTAATGAAGTTATGAGTAGAGTCGCTATCAATTAATATAACCACCTCATAGGGACCAATTTTTTCCATTACCCGCATTGTTTTATAGGTTGTCCATCCTGAGAGTGCATGGAGTGAGATCTCGGGTTGTGGTTCCATTATCTCGTCAGTTTCCTCCTCCTCTGAATGGTCGCCGCTGCCTTCTAACAGTAGGAGTTGTGGTCCTTTACACCGGTGAGTCAGTGTAAACTTCTCATTGCAGTTGAAGCATATCCCTTGCGCCCTTCGTTTCTGCATCTTGTCCCACGTGAGCCTCTTCATAGGTAGAGTCGTCTTGAACTTCGTTGGGGAAGGGGAGTCAGCGATG